AGGCCTGGAGGGTGGCAGCACCCACCCCGCAGGAGCTGCCAGGGTGCTGGGGTGCTCCTCGGGGAGCTCATTGCCTTTAATTTCCTTGGAGCAAAGTAAGCTCTTGCAGCGCTGGGCACAGTATTTCCATGCCCTCTGCTCCCAAACACGCACATTCCTTAGCGCACAGCAAAAAAACCCCAAAAACTTCCAGCCTTTGCTTTGAATTTTCTCCCTCTGGGTCGTTATCTGCATCTTCCGTGAATCTCTACCTGTTTGGTTTTTTTTTGTTTTGATTTTTTTTTTAAATCTGCCCAAATAAGATTTTGAAATCAGAGCTGAATCTGTGACTCATTTTGCTTGAAGCCCATCCACGGTGGCCTTGCTCCCTCTGCTTGCACCGCGATGCCTGTACCACCGAGAGCAGGGTGGGGACGAGCCGGGCGGCGGGCGGGTGGCCGGAGGGGCCGCGGCTCGGGGTGTTTCTCGGCGGTGCTGGAAGTCTGATCCCTGTCCTGGCAGGTCCCAGTGTGCTGGTTAGAATCATCCACAGATGGCTGGGCTTTAACGGGATCAGCTGCTTAAAGTCCATATGATGTTTGGGGCTACTTCCTCCCAGCGCTGGTTTTGGGGCTGAGCTCCCCAAATTGTCCTTTCCTGGCTCTGAGCAGCCTCGCCCAGCCCAGGCTCAGAGATGGGGACCCCCAACTCTGCCTTTTGAGGTGCTCCTTGGGCCCCCTCCCTGGGCTGCCTGCAGGGAGCAGGACTCCCAGCCCCTTGCATCCTGCTTTTTGGGGGTCAGGGACCCATCCTGGCTCACGCTGCTCCCCTGGGAGCTGCTTATGCAGTGCTCATGGGCTGCTGGCACCCTGGCATCTGCTGGTGGCACACACCCCTGGCCGAGCCCCGGGGCCACCTGGAACTCAGGCACATGGCATTCCCAGACCCATGGAACCCCTGATAAGGGCATCGAGCCACTCACCCGATGGAAAAATAAATGCTAATTAGTCAAAACGCTGCAGCATGGCCAGTGGCTTGGTGGGGGCAGGCAGAGTGCATGGCTTTAGGGCCTGATCCAGGCATGGGTGAAGTTGTGGGGCAGGGGGATGCTGTGTTTGATGGGGCGGGGGTTGCTGCCGTTGGTGGCACAGGGACCTCAGGGTGCCCAGAGGGAGCATCATGGTGGTTTCATCCTCCCCGTGGCTGCTTCAGGCTCGATTCCTGTGCCATGCACGGAGCTGCATGTCCTGGAGGGGGGGGAAGGCAGAGATGGGCGGGATGCACCGAGGAGCTCCATCAGCACCTCCTGGGGATCCCCTGCAGAGCCATGTGTGAAGAGGGGGCGAGGGTCAGGCAGCCTCGGCCAGGGGGAGCTGGCAGGGCTTTGGGTGGAGGGGCAGAGCCTGGCAGGGCAGGCAGCACCCCCCTCCCCAGCACCACCCTCGGGGCAGGGGGCTGGCAGGAACCCCCTGGCTCCTGACTCCATCAGGGACATCGCTGGTTCCCTCCCTGGTCTCACTCTGCTCCGGTCAGAGGGTGCTGAGTGCCGGGCTCCGATGGGCTGAGCATCCCTGGTTTTGGGATGCAGGAGGCTTGCTCAGGGGCTTTCCTCCTGTCTGTGTGGGCAGGGCAGGCAGGGCTGGCAGCTCCCCTGCCCACAAGCCGCACCTTTGCTTTACTGTAAGAACAGCCCTTGTCTCTTCCAGGGACTTGGGTGGCTGGGCTGGCACTGCCAGCATCGCCTGGCTGGGGAAACTGAGGCACGGGTAGGCACTGGGCTGGGTGCTGGTGATGAGGTGGCATGTGCAGGCAGGGGCAGGCAGGGCTGGGGGGAGAGCTGCTGCCTGACGAGTAATTCCAGTGCTGGGAGTAGCCTTCCCCTGGCTGTTACACCAAGTTGATGCTGTCGGTGTGCAGGGTGAGTGACGCTGGTGGGTCCCTGTGGGCTGGGCTTGCCCATTTGGGCTTTGTTGGGGTGTGTGCTGTCCCCTTGCCCACAGCAAGCTGTCCCTGCCCGGCCTCATCCTGGCACCCAAAAGCCGTGACATCACGGCGATGGGCCACAGAACTGCTGTCTTGGCCATTGTGCCAGTGTCCCCACTGCTCTGCTGTCCCCAGCGTGGCTGTGGGGTCCCTGCAGAGGCAGGACAAGGGTGGATGCTGTTGCGGGCAGGAGGCAGGGATGGGTTTTGCTGGTGGGTGCTAACGAACCAGCGCTCATTAGTGCCAGACGGCCTGGCCCGTGGCTCAGTGCCCTCCCTGCCCATCTCTTGCAGAACATAGTCTCCAAGCACAGCTCACAGTTTCGGGGCAACGCGCAGCACGACGCCCTCGAGTTCCTGCTCTGGCTGCTGGACCGCATGCACGAGGACCTGGGTGCTGCCTCTCCCGCCCAGCAGACCCGCGTCCCCGAGGAGGTGGGTGGCCCCCGCCGGGGTGGCTGCACACCCTGGCTCGTGGTGGGGGGTGTCCGTGACAGGTCTGGGACTGAGGAATCCAAAATGTCCTGGGAAGGGGCAGGTTGGAGTTGTCCCCCCTCACCCCAGTATGGGATAGAGATGCAGGAGGTGTAGTTTGGCTGGTGTAGGGTGGGAGGATGGTGGGGTTTGTGTGCTGTGGGGCTGGTTGGGGTGCTGGAAGAGTGTGGGGGTGTCAGCAGGAGCTTGTCTGGCTGAGCACTTCGCTGCTGGAGGGCACCCTGGTTCTTGGGGTTGTTCGGGCAGGAGGAGGTCCAGCCCCTCTGCCCCTCCCCGCTCCAGCTAAGCTGCTGTAATTACAGCGCTCGGAGGCTTTGCTGCTGGCAAAACAAGTAATTAAGTCTGCCTCCATCCATCTGCGTGTGGCATCGCCCTGCCTGCCTGCCTGCCGGCTGCTGCCTGTTGCAGCGGATGGATTTGTGCAGCCGCCATCCTCGCTTTGGGGGTGATGCTCAGCTTGGGCCCGGGGGGGCCCAGGGGCAGCTTCATCCTCCTTGTCCCTTGCCTGGGCCATCGTGGCTGTGGCTAAGGGGGTCCAGGGTCCCCCCAGACCGCCTCCAGCCTCTCACAGGCAGCTCGGCTGCGGTGCCCATTGCCCAAGCTTCTGGCCAGGGCAGCCTTGTGGCTTCCAGCCCTTCTTGGCCAGGGGGCTGCAGCCATCCCGGCGCTGAGCTGAGCTGTCCTCAGCCCTGCCTGCATTGGGATACCCCGGGGCGGTCGGGAGGGCCTGGCAGCTCCCGTTGCTCCCGTGTTAAATGCGAGGAGCCAACGCCTGCCCCGGGCTGGAGCGTGATACTGGCGGCGCCATGGCAATGTCCCCCACTTTGTGTCTCCCCAGCGTCCTCGGTTTGGCTCAGCCTCCCACAGCCCCTCACCACAGTCCCAGCCCCTTACAGGTCATGTGTGCCCAAGTCCCTGGGGAGGGGGTGCCCCGTGGGGGTCCTGAGCCTGAATAAACAGGTTTGAAGTGTCTGGATGGAGCTGGACATGCACCCACCTGTCGTGGTTTTGGGGAGCAGGGGCTGGGGGAGGAGGGCTTGTGCAGATACTGAACGATGGGGGTTTGGGGGACGGTTTGCTGCTGGTCAAGCCCGTGCTGAGGCTCAGGGACGGGTGGAGCTCAGCTGGTGGGAAACAGAAGATGGTGTTCAGGGCATGGAGCCAGCCAGGCTGAGGGGGGGAAATACCGTCCTGACTGGTTGATGGATGCCCCCAAGGTGTCTGCAGTGGCACCCAGTGGGCTCTGGAGCAGCCCAGGGGGGAACCAAAGCTTGGTTGCCAGGAGGGCTAGAGGAGGAGGAGGCATCCATCCCCTTGGGTTTTAGGGGGGATTTTGGGGGCCACGTGGCACTCAGACACAGTCCAGGTCCCCTCTGTGCCACACCAGATGGACCCTGGCCCCGGGCAGACCATAAGGACACGTCAGGCTCAGCAGGACCCGGTGCCAGCAGATGGCATGAGGAAAATCCTCCTCCCAGCCAAATACCTCATTGATTTTCAATCTTACTCATTGTGACACCAAAGCCTCCCTGTCTTACCCCAAAACAGCCAATCCTGTTTGCAGCATCTCTTCTGCCATCGAACTCTGCATGGCCGTAGCTGGGGGTGAAGCCAGTGGCCTGTGTCCCCTGTGTGCGGGGATGGCAGGCAGGGGGATGGCAGGCAGGATGCAGGCAGGGAGGTGTGGGCTAAGCAGGCAGGTTTGGCTGTGTAACATGGCTGCATCCCGGTGTCCTAGCTCCCTGTGGCACAGGGCAGAGGACTCGGCTCTTCCTGGGGTCCCTGACTCGGGGTGTGGGAGCTGGTGCATCAGGCTCGGAGAGAGGTCAGGTGTCTGCGGTCACCCCGCGTCCAGGGCCAAGCTGGGGGATGTGGTGACATGGGGAGGTGGCCGAGGGGTGAGTTGGCTGCGGAGCATGTGCTCCCCATGGCTGCTTCCCCTGGCAGCTCCAGGGATGCCAGTGGAGTGGGCGCTGCTCCCCCCACCTGCGCCAGGCACGTGGCTCCTGAGAGCCCAGCTCTGGGGCGAGGGGTTGGGGTGCTGTGCCTGGGCTCGGGGTGCAGACTTGTGCCGGGTGCTGTGCCTGGGCTTGACGTGGCAGGCACCGTGCCGGGTGCCGCGCCTGGGCTTGCTGCTGGTAAAGGAAACACGCAGCAGTGGGGCTGCTTTTCTGGGCAGCTCTGCAGCCCCGCGCTGGCAAACCTGCCAGGGGGGGCGTGACGCCAGCCGGGGATTTTTTTAGCTCCCTGGTTCTGGTGATTTGCATGTGGTTAACCTGCCGAGTTTGCCTCAGGTGGATGCAAGCACAGGAACGTGCGCACCCACTCCAGGGGCTTGTGACACGGACACACACACACAGATACACAGGCACGGACACAGACACAGAGACACACAGACACGTGGACAGACGCACGGACATGTACATGGGCACAGACACACACACAGAGATATATGGGCACACACGGACACTCACAGACATACAGACACACAAACACACAGATACATGGACACACAGACACACACAGACCCATGGACATGCACACAGAGACCCACGCGTGCACACACACACACAGAGACACACACACAGACCCACGCATGCACACACACACAGACCCATGCGTGCACACACACACACAGACCCACGCGTGCACACACACACACACAGACACACACAGACCCACGCGTGCACACACACAGACACACACACAGACCCACGTGTGCACACACAGACACACACACAGACCCACGCGTGCACACACACAGACACACACAGACCCACGCATGCACACACACACACACACAGACCCACGCGTGCACACACACACAGACACACACACAGACCCACGTGTGCACACACACACAGACACACACACAGACCCACGCGTGCACACACAGAGACACACACAGACCCACGCATGCACACACACACAGACACACACACAGACCCACGCGTGAACACACACAGACATACACACAGACCCACGCATGCACACACACACACAGACACACACACAGACCCACGCATGCACACACACACAGACCCACGCGTGCACACACAGACACACACACACAGACCCCACGCGTGCACACACACAGACACCCCCCCCCCC